GGAAAGAGATTGGGGTGAAAAACCGGAAGAGGAAGCTCTACACGAACAACTCGAGTCAAGACTGGTTTTCATGGAGGGAAGGCAAATGGAGTAGCATGCCTTTCAAACACCCCGCAACTTTTGACAAATTGGCAATGGATCCAGTGAAGAAACAGGAGTTGATGGACGAACTCGAGTGGTTCCAAGGAGGAAAAGATTACTACGAGGGGATTGGGAAGCCGTGGAAGCGAGGCTATCTCCTCCACGGTCCACCAGGGACAGGGAAATCAACCATGATTTCAGCCATGGCTAATTTTTTGAAGTACGATGTCTATGATCTTGAACTGACCAATGTGAAGGACAACTCAGAGCTCAAAAGGGTATTGCTTGACACGAAAAGCAAGTCCTTGATTGTGATAGAAGATATCGATTGTTCGCTTGACCTTACGGCCCAGAGAAGCAAGAAGGAGAAGGACGAGGACAAATCAGAGAAGAAGGAGCTGAAAGAAAGAGAGGAGAAAACAAGCAAAGTTACATTGTCGGGGTTATTGAACTCCATTGATGGGTTATGGTCCGCTTGCAGCGACGAAAAGGTCATAGTGTTCACTACAAATCATTTAGACAAGCTTGACCCGACATTGGTACGTAGAGGAAGAATGGATAACCACATAGAGATGTCTTATTGCAGGTTCGAAGCATTCAAAGTTTTAGCCAAGAATTACTTGGGGATCGTTTCCCACTCTCTGTTTGAACAAATAGAGGGTTTGCTTAAAGAAACCGACATGTCCCCTGCAGATGTGGCCGAGTATTTGATGCCAAAATCTAAACACGAAGACAAAGACACTTGCCTTCAACGTCTGGTCTCGGCTTTGCAGGAGACAAAGAAGACGCCAATAAATATGGCTGAAGAGAGGAACACGAAGGCAGAGGAAGGGAACAAGAAAGATGATGCTGATGAACCTGAGGGTTCGAAAGGAAAAGACCATATTTGTCAACAAAATAGTTAGAAGATTCGGAAAAGTTACAATATATGATGATGATCTTAAAACTAGAAGCTAAGTTTGTTTCGGTCTACATGTCGTTTGTTGCCTTCTGTGAATCCCTTTTGTCTTTGTGAATTGGTATCTGTATTTCCTCTGTTTATAATCCAAAAATAATACAGGAAATTAAAATAATGGGTTTTCATAAACCGAATATTATATATTTATATGTCGTTATTTTTTTCACTTGTAAATTCTTGGTAACAAAATCATATCGGATGGCAGATATATCACCATCACTATCACTTGTCACCTTTCTCACTCTCTAATCTCTTATATTATCCTTCGTCACAAATTTGGGCTTTAGTAGGCCCAATAAGTGCAAAGCCCAAAAAGCCTTGGGGAACGGAAAGCCCGTGATAGAATGAAGCCTCCATATGTCGAATATATTTACAATAAAACCCTTTCTTACGAACGCGTATTTATTTATCATCACAATATCAATAAGCGATGGATTAAATATGCAATACATTTTGTAAATATCATAGATATTTGTTTTAGATCTAAAATTATAATACTTATGAAGACAAAATATAATAATAAGAGGATATCCAAACCTAAAAGACACAAATATATATATATATATATATATATACCTAAATTGCTAAAACAGAATTTGTGGATACCCACGTTTTATGTGTTGATTTTTTTTTATACGCTTGATATGTTTTTAGAAAAGACAAAAATAAATGTTGAAACATGAAGCTCCAAAAGAGATAGGCTCCAAGCCTCCAACGGTATTGGTAGTTGTGTTTTTAAATAGGATTTTAAATATTTAGGAAATATAAATACTATCGCTGTTTTTCTCCTCGTGAACTCGACCCCTCTCTCTCTCCTTTTTAGTATTATAGTATTTTTTTTTCTGAACAGTTTATTTTTTATTCTATTATTGCTGTCCTCCTCACCAATCAAGCTTTATGTATCATATTTTTCAATCTATTTTATATATTTTTTTCTTAAATAAAATTAAGATTTGAGATTTCTTTTTATCTATTACGACTGTACAAATATAGACCCACCCACTGCAAATCAGATATCATTCATAAACTCTAAATTCTAGTTTTAATTTTTTACATTGCAAACATAATTATAAATTTATAAAATTTTCTATCAAATTTTAATTTAAAATATTTATATTTATCTAGATCTTTAGTTTTTATTTAGTTTACAATATTCAAATTAAAACAATCCTAAATTTGATCTATTATAGATACTAGATTGTTTGTCTTTTAATTCTATTTAATGAAATTAAATTTAATTTATCACACAACTAAGTGCCATTTTTTTCTGAAATTTTATCCATTATATGTTTAGAACATAAGATGGTGAGAATTAGTTACTAAGTCTAATACCATGTGTAAATGTAAATATTAGTCTCACTAATACCTAGATCTAATTACCAATATGTTATTTAGTATAATGAGTGTAGACACTTCTACCGAGATTATTTCAATATTGTTCACCGCGACACACGATTCGAGTATTATCCACTAATTACTTCATTGGGGTTATAAACAAAATTAAAATTAAATTTAAAATAAACATATAATTTATTAGTTTTAAGTGTGTATATTTCAAATTTGTTTGTTTCCCCCATATAACCTCACTGTTTCCAGCACAATCTCCATGTTCAATCCCGCCCTCTCTCTCTCTCTCTCTCTCTCTGAGTCTCTCTTTGACCACCTCGGGTCACATCCAAAACATTGACCATTACCAACACAAACAGAGATTCTTAAAAAGACCCAGATTGTTTCACACTTCCTCTCACTCATCTTCTTCGCCAGTCATGAACAGACAGCCTCCACAAAATCCAAATCTCGAAGCTTTCCCCCAATCTGAACCTCCCCAACATTGCTCACCGAACAATGCCGATGCGAGCCCAGCTTCTGGGTCCGAGAGCTTCAAAACCAGCAGCAATGGCACCACGAGGAATAGCTCCCAGGACGCGAGGCTCAACAACAGCGTCAGCATAAGTTTCTGCAGCAGCACAGTTTCTGGGTCCGACAATAACAGCGTCAGTAGCGAGGCAAATGCCGAAAAGTTTCGATCTTTCGATGGGAACGAGCCCAGTTTCAGAAGAGCTTGCCCGTCGAAGCCGCACAAAGGGAACGACATTCGATGGGACGCGATTCAGAGTGTGAAGCTCAGAGATGGCGATCTGGGTTTAGGGCATTTCAGGCTTTTGAAGAAATTGGGGTGTGGGGACATTGGGAGTGTGTATTTGGCTGAGCTGAGAGGGATGGGTTGTTTGTTCGCCATGAAAGTGATGGATAAAGGAATGTTGGTTGGGAGGAAGAAAATGGCTAGGGCTCAGACAGAGAGGGAGATTCTGGGTCTGTTGGATCATCCTTTTTTGCCGACACTTTATTCCCATTTTGAGACAGACAAGTTCTCTTGTCTGTTGATGGAGTTTTGCAGCGGCGGCGATCTCCATATTCTCCGGCAGAAACAGCCGGCGAAGCATTTCTCCGAGCAAGCCGCCAGGTATGGCTCCAGAACCTTTTCAGATTCCTTTTTCTTGATTGCATTTCTCCTTACATGAAATCGAGCTACAGTGGAAAAAAAATACAAGAACCCAGAATCAGTGTTGGAGAAGTAACTGCCAGATTCTTGTAATTGGAAATGTGATACATAATAGTAAATCTGCAAATGGTGAATTCGAAAGATTCAGAAGCTAATAAGCCTAATATCCTAGAATAAGTTGTTAAGATGAAAACATGTGTTCTTGATGTGCAGGTTCTATGCTTCAGAGGTACTTCTTGCGCTCGAGTATCTCCACATGATGGGCGTTGTGTACAGAGACTTGAAGCCGGAAAACGTAATGGTGAGGGAAGATGGACATATCATGCTCTCGGATTTCGATCTTTCGTTGAGATGTGTGGTGAGTCCTACGCTCGTTCAGTCCAGTTCACAGCCTGATTGCAGGATCGCTTCATACTGTATCCAACCAGCTTGTATAGATCCATCCTGCAAATTGCCTGTTTGTGTAGAGCCTTCTTGCTTGCAGCCCACATGCTTCAAGCCCCGTTTCCTCCTCGACCACAAGCCAAGAAAACCGAAACACGAAAAGGGTATTTCTTCAAACACAGATTCACTCCCAGTCTTAATCGTTGAGCCAACAGATGCGCGTTCCATGTCGTTTGTGGGCACTCACGAGTACTTAGCTCCCGAGATCATAAGAGGGGATGGCCATGGAAGTGCCGTGGATTGGTGGACGTTCGGAATATTCCTCTACGAGTTGTTGGCCGGGAAAACACCCTTCAAAGGTAATGGAAACCGGGAAACATTGTTCAATGTGGTCGGTCAGCCTCTGAAATTCCCGGAAGGATCTTCATTAACCTTTCTGGCCAAGGATCTTATCCGAGGTCTGTTGGTTAAAGATCCTCAGAAGAGACTCGGGTTCAAGAAAGGCGCCACCGACATCAAGCAACATCCTTTCTTCGACAGTGTCAATTGGGCGCTCATCAGAAGCACACATCCTCCAGAAATCCCGAAACCGCTCGATCTTTCTGTCTTGAACCAAACCCTGAAATCATCTCTGCAACAACAACAGCAGCATCAGGACAAGGGTTGTAAGGACTCTGATCGTTCATCAGGTCCCTACTTAGACTTTGAATTCTTCTGATGAGCACTTTCATCATCAGAATCCTCGTTAGGGCATTCACTATTGTTGTTGGTATATGTATTCAAAATTTTCCCCTTAGTTCAACGATTATCTCTGCCTCTTCACCACTGGTTCTTGCGAATGTTCGTCGTGTTTACACAAACTTGAACAGGAGTTAGAAATCCAGTTTAATTAATCTCTGGATCATGCCTGGACAAAATGCGGTTCCTGTATCATAAAATAAACAGATGAGAGCTTAGAATAGAACAAAAGAAGATCTGGGAGACTGTTTCTCGAAAAAAAAAAGCATCTTTTTTTCTCGTCTTTTGCTGCTGAAAAAACCGTTCGTCTTTTTCCGGGACCCAAGAAAAGCAAAACTGAAAAAATCGAAACTTTTTTTTTTGGTTCCTCCCTCGCAGATTGTATATGTTCGTCCCCACACAAACACACACACATTCGAGTGATCTTTCTCGTGAGGGCAAAAACCATTGTTTGAAAGTGGTCCTTTCATGGTGGATCTTATACGTTTTTTTTTTTTGCTTTTGCTCTTTATCAAAGTACCCTTTTGCATGCAGAGTCTTTTCAGCCAAAAATCTTGCCCTTTTTTTCCCTTCTTTCCAGTTATTCTCTGGATATGCTTAAGCCTTTTCCTCAGAGAATGTTCATCTTTGGATGGGAATTCGAACAAGGCAATACACAGGAGAAGACAAAAAGAAAAAGACTTCATTTTTTTCAAGTTTGTTTTTTAGTTTCACTATTTGGTGAATTCTTCTGCCTGCTTCACAACAACGCTGCACAGTAAACACGATTAAAGAATAAAGGCTTTTGCTTTTTGCTGTTGCTTTTTCACACGATTTGAACCAGGAAAAAAAGATTGGATTTTTGAAACAGGTTGAAGAAGAAGAAGAAAAAGTAACGATTGCTTACACGAATTATAGTGAATCCATTGCCTCTGCATTATCTTCTTTACATTGACCAAGAAAAACCCTAAATTTCGACCAGAACAGCCGGCGATGAAAAAAAAATCCTCTAAACCCTAGAAGAAAAAGCCATAGAACAAGAAATCACTCAACGTAAGGCGCAAGTACCGTGGGCTTCAAGAAACTGAGCCGATGAGCAATGTGATGGGCCCATCATTATAATATCATCGGCCCATTAAAACATTATAATATCGTCGGCCCAATAATTTGTAATGGGCCTAGAAGTGTGCGATAGGTTCCCTCGGATGAGGAATGTGTTCATCTCTCGTTACCAGCAACAAATTTCAATCTCTTTTCTTTCTCCTGTCCTCAATTTTCAGTGACTTTGTAGGGATATGGATTTTAGGGTAACCCCCAAATCCTTCGATATTTTCTTGTATCGGTTCTTTCTTGTCTATGAGAAAACAGGGAAGCTATTCAAAGTTCTGCATTATGGTTACGGTCAGAAGTATGAGCAACATTTTGTTACTTACATGACAAGGGAAATTTAGGGTTTGGTGATCATCGCAACCAGGTGGTTTCTATTCACGTGCGGTCATCCGACAGATCTCTGAAAACAAGATACGGACGTTTCAAGTTAGGGCAAAAGCCGGGTCGTGGCAAGAACCCTACTCGCATACTGGGAGGAACATGGATCTTGCAGAAAGAGCTGCAATGTTTAGAAACCAAAACAGATTGGGTAAGAACCCTAACTTTTGCACTGTTACCATGTTTGGGGGGGGGGTGAAATCTTGATGAGAGATATCGAATCTCGTATGCATTCTTTTTGTCAATTCAGATTCCTGAATTGCTCGTACTGTTTATAGACAGTTCAGTAGAGAGAACTTTGAATGATACAAGTCCACTGATCTTTATTATCCGACGAATTTCTCATGCTAGTTCAGTTTTGAACCTCTCGGCCTGTGTGTTTCTTGCATGTATACAAACTCGTGGGCGTAAGTTAACGTATGAAGATGTCTTGGCCATTGCAAAAGCTTTGGCTCCATTGTGTAGAAGTTTCATAACTCATCTTTTCTTGAAAAAATTTAAACTTTCTTTAAGTATTTCTGGATGTGACAACAATGGTGACAATATGCCTCTATATATGTTGTTCTTTCATATGAATCCACCTTGGAATTTCATCAAAATTCACTTGTTATTATCCATGTCTATCTAATCATACAAGCACCGTGAGGCTATGGATATACTGATACATCATTGAGCGTATATACAGAACCGCATATAGTAGTGACTGTACTTGAGAGTTTCTACGTCATGCATTTCGGAACACTCTTTATTTCAAATGAGATGAAACCTTCATGCAATTACCGTTAATTAGGAGCCAAATGCATGAGATTCTCACCTTCTCTCTCTCTCTCTCTGCACTTAAAAAACACACAGAGCTTTTGGCATTGCATCACTCATACCAAACAAACACTAAAGTGTTTTGTACTTGAAACATTTTTCTCAAGCTTTTCTCCATCATCTCTCTGTGTCTGAAAATGGGGAGACCACCATGCTGTGACAAATCCAATGTCAAGAAAGGTCTTTGGACCCCCGAAGAAGACGCCAAGATTCTTGCTTATGTCTCCATCCACGGTGTCGGGAACTGGACTCTGATTCCCAAGAAAGCAGGTATCTCAGATCTCTCTTCCTCTCTCTTCTGTGTAAGATCGTTTCCGAACATTCTTTTTCGTGCAGGACTGAATCGATGCGGAAAGAGTTGTAGATTGAGATGGACTAATTACCTGAGACCTGACCTGAAGCACGACGGTTTCTCTCCACGAGAAGAAGAACTCATTATTCAGTACCACAAAGCCATTGGTAGCAGGTGAATCTCTCAGTTCATTGTTCTCATATGATTTTTTTTTTCATTTTCGCTGCATGATTTAAGAAACAAATGACATGACAATGCATAAGGCATTCCCTGTTTGTGTTATGCACCATTCCCTTAGCTTCTGATACTGTTTTCTATATAATAGTCTCGTAATTTCTTCCGACACAACACACCTAACCCCTAACTAACCGTAACATACAGAGTTTCATGTTGCTTTTCTATGAATGTTTCTTATCAGACAAGAGTTTGTTGCCTCCTTTTTCGGCAACTAATCATTGATAACTGACGTTGCAGGTGGTCTTTGATTGCCAAAGAACTGCCAGGAAGAACAGATAACGATGTGAAGAACTACTGGAACACGAAGCTGAAGAAGAAGCTGATCAAAATGGGGATCGATCCCGTTACTCATAAACCCGTTTCTCAGGTCCTTTCTGACTACGGACACATAAGCAGCCATGGAAACCCACAAAACCCATCTGAAACTTTTGTCAGAAGCTTCAACACCACGTCAGTTCTTAACCCTGAACCATCCAATTCTCTCCTCACATCCATTTCGGCCGTGGAAATGATCATGAACTCAAACCAAGAATCTTATAACTCACCTATCCTCACAAACCCTTCACCTGAATTTCTGAATCCCTGCTTCCTTTCTAACCAATCACCTTATCTGTTCAATGAGGTCACATCTTCGTGTTCTTCCTCATCATCTTCTGCTAGTATCACTCAGCCAAACCCTCTGTCTCAGGCTCAAGCACCGGAATTATCATTCTGCTGGAGCGATTATCTTCTTGCTGACACGGGATTACCTCTGAATACTCAGCGGCCGGAACAACTTGACGCACAAAATGCACTGTCCTCAGCCTCTAGCAACCTTTCTTTGGTGCAGAACGAGACTCAGAACAGAAACATCAATGGCGAAGATGAGTACAGTTCTCAGAAAATCGCAGCTGAGGCCTCTGGAATGTATGATCTTCACTCCATGGGTTCATTTGTGGATGAAATATTGGACCGTGACCAAGAGATGCAGTCGCAATTTCCTCAGCTCCTGAATGATTTTGATTATTAAGACCTTTTTCTTTGATGAACTCTTAAGTGCAGCAATAGCTTATGATTAAGCAGTTTGTGAAAACAAGAACTATGTTGATTCACTATGTTTCTTTCCCCTTGTTACAGTTTAAGTGCCGATGTTGTTAGAATTACTATGATCTTTCTGTAAACAGTCTTTGAAACCTCTACTTCGTCAAGAGGGTTCGCGTTGTAGCTTTGCACAGCTCGAGGCTTTTTAGCGATGGCGGTTCGCGTCATCGTATCTAATCATCTCTCCCTCCCTTTGGGATCAAATAATATGAACAGGAATTCGAATGTCTCGTACTCTTCTTTTCATGAAGTTGAGAGCTAGATTCTCCACTGCCATCGTCTCTTCTCGTAAAAGTCTGGGTTTTTTCCTTTCAGAAAAATAGTACAACTCTTGGCGTTCCTAATCTTCTTGATCACAAAAAGGTATGTCCGATCACTCATTTTTTCAGACATCTGTTGTGGTTTCTGTGAAGTCAGATTCAGATTCAGGTGGTGTTTCAGGTCTGTGTCTCGGTCTAAGGTTCACTACCTGCTCTGCCTTCCTCCATAGTTATGGGTTTTTGGTTGCCGACGAGTTGTTGTTCAAAGCATAAACTTTAGTCTCAGAAAGTTGCTAATTTGTAGTTTAACGATAAATTGAAATTCAAGGGCTTTTCAGATTTCGATTTAGCAATTCTTTTTCTCTCGATTTTGAATTTGTCATTTTTTTCCCTCGACTCCGATTGAACCCAGAACTCCAGTCGTGTAAACACCTGTAATGTCATTGATCAAAACCATTCGTAGACGATGAGAAGAAAGGAAGAGCTAAAGAGTGGAAGGAGGAACAGACCAGAGGAGGGTACGCTGTTGCCTGGAACAACTTGTAAGTTGCTTCAGGTGTGTATTTACCTTTGTTCATATATCCTTTTCACCAGTATGCCCATCTTGGAGGATGATGTGAAGCATTATATCTGGAATTTGATTTGTCCCATTGAACAATTTAGGTGTTTGATGTTCTAGGTTCTTTGAGGAAAGGCCATATTGCCTCTTTCTTAAGGGCATGGATGGATGTGAGACCCATGATGGAAGTTGTTAAAGGGGCAGCTTTTGGTATTCTCCAAGTAAGAGTATATCCACATTTTTGTTAGTTTGGGAGCTTCCTCTTCATTTCTATTTGGGAGTAACTAGATATTAGAGATGTTTTCTATTTGACATTGGCAATCAGTTATCAAATGAACGGACTCTCACGAAGAATAAGAACTAGTTTTCTCAGGAATTATTTTGCAGGTGCTTTTTTCCAGCAATCTCCTTCTTGCTTATTGCTGAGAATTATACCAAAACCTATGAGATTCTAAGGCAAATGTATGGTCAAGAGAATGTTAACTTCGTATGTTTTATGTATGTTTGTCGGGCAGATATATACGATACGAGTTATCCGATCAGATAGGGTTTCTCCTTTGTGCATTTCCATTGGCTTCCATTGATTACCTCAAGGTTTGAGACGTTTACTCTTATATTCTTATTTATAGAAAATCTTTTTGTAAGTGACTGATAGGGAGATACCTAAGCATCACTTTTTCTGAATTTGATTTTACTTCACAAAAAAGAGCTCTTTCAAAGCATGCAACTTGAAATCTCTGGAGGGCATTATTTGCATGCCTATGCTGATGGTGATTGTAGGAATCAATGTTGTAGGACACTATCCATGTGTGGGATCCTTTAATAATATACAGATATAGAAAGGGGTTGTGGGACCAGGGCTTGTTGAGACTTTGGTTTTACTATGGAGGTGGCATGCTTCTCTTTCTCACCAAAGCCAAAAGGAAGTTTTGCTTGTGAAATGAAAACAGACTTGCTGAAACTGAATCTTCCCAAGCTTTCAATCAAATATTGGATATGTTTCTGCAATTACAGTTCAAATTTCATTTCAAACTTCATATACGTGTTTTCACATCATTTGCAATACATCATCAAGAAAGTCCTATAGATATCTTCTTTACTTTGAGACATGTAAGTTCACTGTTAAGCGTTACCGAAGACATGTTTTAGCTTCAGAAGTAATTGTTCTGTTGTGTAAGGGTAGGTGGCAACACTTAACAAGGAAGAAAATGGCAGCTCCTCCAAAGCTTCTTTCCAAAGGTATGTTTTGAATATGCATATTATATAGTCTCCATTGCTTTTGTTAATTGTTTAGAGGAAATCTCCAAGTGATTTAATATAGTGGCAAGGAAAGTAGCTGGCTTGTTATAATACTCAGCCACAAAAGCTACACTGTCCTATGTCTTTAAGTTGATTAAAATATATGTTATTTAGGGGAGCTAGTGAGGTCCCCAATGGTTTGCTGCATGAAAATGCACAAATCAAAGCAAAGAAAAAGGGCCCATATGTTATATAAAGCTATTTTATCGATAACTTTCTCTATCTACGTGTACATACATATATCCACATGTATACATACAATGCTGTTGCTTTGTGTTGCTTCATATTTAAATAGGATGAATCATGATTTGTCCGCCAAGGTATAAAACAACCTAAATGCTTCTTCTTTCCCTTTGCTTTACCCTCCTTCCCTTTCCCCTTTTGCTTGCTCTTTTGTTCAAGAAACCTCTATTTATGTGACAGTCACTTCAGCAAGCATCATGGATGTTTTTTGGCTCAGTCTGTGCATGTTAACCAAGAAGTTGTAGGACACAAGTTGCAGAGAAAAAAAACATGAAGAGTGGTGGTGTTAGAGCTTTATTTGGAGCTTTTGTATCTGTGGGTATTATCGTGTATCTTCTTGTCGGTACATTTGCAAACTCTGCGGCAAGAAAAGCTATTCCAGTGGCAGGGGTTCCATCAGCAGAAAGAGTAGAGACTTTGCGTTCTAACACGAAAGTCACCCATGGTTTTCACCGAGATGTGGATCTGTTCTATGTGAGCAAGAGAAAAGTGCCCAATGGACCTGATCCCATTCACAACAGGTACTTATTCTCTTTCAAGATTTTGATCATTTTCTTGTGTTTCTGTCATCTTTACCAAAACCAGATATTACTCATTTGGGTGGTTCAATTTGATAAAACCCTGAGCTTTCACAGTTAGCCCAAGTGAACAAGTTTAAGAATTTTGGCTGAAACTGGCTTAGAACGTTTGTTCATATCCCGGTATTGTAGGTTGTCCTCAATTCAAGAACTTTTTCATGTAATTTAACACACACTATAAACATTATTTACATATAATCTTCTTCTTTCTTCTTTTCAGTGTTCCTCTACCATATGCCATTAATGAACTCGTCTTTCAAAATGCATGGAAGCAGATGATGTGATCATGTTTTAGTAAAGCTTCTTTAAGTCTCTTTCTCTAATTTTTATGCCTAGAAACTAAAGGGAGGGGCCAGGAAAGATTTTAGACCAGACCACTACCACTTTAGTTAAAGTTCCACTGCAGTAAAACTAAGCTTTTACTAAAGTTTTGGGTTTTCAAATGTTTCTTCAGGAGGGCTGAGACATCTAGACGACCACCAGGAGTCTGATTTCCTGTTGTGATACGATGACCTCGGAATATACGCGAATTCGGTACGTAAAAAACACATCCCTCAACATTCCCCCTATATATTTCATGTAACTGTACCGTTTTCACCACGTGGGTTTCATTCGTATCCATTTTACTATTGTTTCAGAACACGTATTGCGAAATTACCGACCATGTAGATTGCGTTTTCATGTCAAGGAGCCATGTTTTATGAACTTGTAAACTTGTGGAGGACATTGATAATAGCCAGGCCCTTTAGCTGAAAAATCAAGATTCTTGAGCCAAGTCTGCAACTTTTTCGACTGGGAAATCTTGCGTTGTTACTGCCGATATCACCTTGTTTCTCAAGGATGAAATGTTTAGAAGCAGGAGAAGTTAAGGCAGATACTAACACAGAAGACAGAGGGCTTTGTAGGATTTGCAATAGCATTGTATTGATTAGCTTATCTAACTCTTGTTTTTTGTCTGATACGCCCCCATCTTCCTTTCTTTGCCTTTTCTTTTTAAATGTACACTTTGGAGTCTGCTTTTTGTGTTCCTCTGCTGAAGCACCCATTAACTAAAGTTGCTCTGTTTAAAAACAAAACAAAAACGTTCCCCCCCCC